CCAAACTTGGCCACTTTAAGATGAGTGGACTTCAACTCCCAGAATTACCCAGCCAGCATGGGTATTCTTGGAGTTGAAGTCCACTCATCTTAAAGTGGCCAAGTTTGGACAACACTAATCTATGTGGTCACTAGGAGTTGAAAATGACTTGATGGCACATAATCAATCAATCAATCATACAACCAACCACAGCAAGACAGATTCTAGATGGAGGAATATAACTTTTCAGGGGATGATGCCTATATTTGATCTTTGAGTGTTATACCAGCAGTTGTACTCAAAAAAAGTAAGCAGGGCCAGAACAAAATAAACGTTTGATTTAATTTAAATATAATTAAAAATAAAAATAATGCACTGTGGTTCATATATGATTACTCCTCATGCATTAATACTTCTCCCTTTCTGTCACCTACAAAATTATAATCCAATAACAATTTTTAGTGGAGCTAGTGGCCACCACAACATTTTGGTGGTCTACATTTAAAAAATATGTTGATTACCTACTTTATCTTTTCATGATTATTGGTAGCACTCTAATCAGTAGCACTTTTCATAGTACAGCCGAGTAAAAGGCAGAAAAGCCAAGAATGCTATTTCAAGAAGTGAGAGGAAAAAGGGAACATAACTGAAATATTTCAAACATTTTCTTCTGCCCTATATTTCAGGTTCAAAAGTGTTTCAAAATTGGCCAGTTGCAAGAAAGCATTACATTGAGAATATGTAACTTATGTTACTTTCATGTTTACTGAAAAGTTACATCACACTACATTAACTTACTTGCAGGTCTAATGCTACATTCTCTAATTAAATGCATTCCTATACTTCATCCACACCCATAGTATATCATTTGTTACCCTTTTAGTCCCACAATCTAAGAACATTTTATTTAAAAAAACCTGACACTCACCAGAGTTAACATCCACACAGCCTTTACCATTTTTCACATCGACTATCCAAGTGGCTTCTTTACCCTCAGGGCCATCTTTTACTTTAAAGGCGAAAATGCCACCAATTTTCTTGACATACTGTTCTCCTTCCTGTAATTATAATGTAATAGTTACATATCATCAAAAGAGGATCTTAATCTGGGCACGCATGGCCTATTTTCAGCTTGTGCTAAAGCCTTCCAAACATTAGTCGTTATCCTGAATGAATGATTAAAGATTCCAGATAACATTAGCAAATGTTAACTTAACTTAACATTTAAATGTTGACTTAAAGGAGCAAGTGGAGTCACTTAGGAGGATGAAAATGTCTTGGATTAAAGTAGTTGCTACAATCGAAGCTGACAGAGGAAGAAACTCTATACAAGGAAGAGAACCAATCAAGGGAGTCAACCCAATAAATGACAGTGACTAGGGGAAAAAAAACCCTCTGTACGGCTGCAACGCAGAAATAGCTTTCAGGCTCTCACAGAAGGAATATGCTGTTTCCAGACTAAACAAAAGACAAGAAACTGGGGCCCAGAAAAACATAGTGGCCGCAATTACTATCTGAAGAGACAAAGAGCAGAATTGTAATAACTGGTGACTTCCTGATATGAACAGCAGAATATGTTTTTTCAAGACCCTATGCTCATAAAATATCGTATCTCTTTAGACTACAGATCAGGAATGTAATGGGACTGTTGCCAAGATTTAGCACGTCCACTGCCAAGGGCAGTGATAATTTTATTTCTTTAGAAGAAGTCCAAAGTGGATGGGGATATTTTAAAAAGGAGATATTAAAAGGACAATCACAAGCAATTATAACAAGGAAAAAAATGAAAGGCAGAAATTTGCTGACCACACAAAATTGGACAGGATAGTTAATACGTCTAGAAAACAGAAACAAGATTAAAAATGATCTTGACAGGTTAGAGAAGTAGGCTAAAAATAATAAAGTGAATTTTAATAGATACAAGGACAAAGTTATTTAGCAGAGACAAATTAAATCAAACGCATGAGTAGAGGATGAGGGATACATGACTAATACATGTGAAAAAAATGGAACTATAGATAATCACAAGCTGAGTATCAGTCAGCAGTTATGTGGCTGCCAAAAGGCAAACACTGGAATAGTCAGACTGAGTACTGTGTTCAATTCTTCCCATCACGCTTTAATAAGGATTCAAAAACTGGTATCTCTGCAGTGAAGAGCAATGAGAATGATCAGAGGACTAGGAATTAAATCCAATGAGGACAGGTTGAGGGGTGTATTTAGCCTTGAGAATAGACAGCTGAAGGAGGATATGAGAGAACTATTTTAGTGAAGGACTGAGAAGAATGGTCACACAGAAGTTTATTTATTAAATTTATATGCCATCCATCTCCCCCAGAAGGTGACTCTGGATGGCTTACAATTAAAATCCAAAACAGTAAAAACAATAAAAATATACATATACATATTAAAATTAACTAATAACAATTCTATATAAAAAGACTATATACAATTCAAGATGAGGGGGGGAGCAGTATCGATCATCCCACCCGCCAATTCCAACAATGCAAGTCCCAGTCAGGCCCCAAGACCATCTGGCATAGCCATGTTTTCACACTTCTTTGGAAGGCCAGGAGAAGGGGGCAGCCCACACCTCTGGTGGTAAGCTGTCCCACAGGATGGGGGCCATAGCAGAAAAGGCCCTCTTCCTAGACCCCACCAGCTGAAATTTCTTGACTGGTGGGGTCTGCAACATGCCCCTTCTGCCGGACTGAGTGGGGCTGACAGATATAATGGGGTGAGACAGCTCCTCAGATAACCTGGTCCTGTGCCATGTTCATTTCCTCTTCTCAGTTATCCCACGGTGGAGGACATGTAATAATGGTTTTAGTTATAGGCAAGCATATTCCAGTTGAATGTTATAAAAAAGTTGCTAACAGAAAGAGTAGTCTTAGAGTGGAACTGATTTCCAAGAGAGATTATGAGGTCATCTTTTCTGGAACAAAAAGCTGGAGATGCTTAAACTGGATTTGTATGTTGAGCAGTTGGTTGGACTTGTATGCCTTATTACATCATCCAACTCTAGGATTCTTGTAGTTTTAAGAAAGAACTGCAAGTTTTTGAACTGCAGCTTCTTCCTTAATGCTGTACAAGCACTCTTTCCTGAAAAATGCTCTTTTGGGAGATGTAGTGGGTAGCTACTAAACAATGTCAAGGAAGTAACACCCCTGAAACTTAAAGTAGCTTCATTTACTTCAATTACTTCAGGTTGCAGTGCTAAGCATAATGGACATAATCATCTGAGTTACCAAATACTTATCTCCAAAATCTACAGCATGGTAGCTAATTATTTTGCCAGGTTGAATCTTGCCCTGTCCCAGATTTCATTTTCAGCCTAAAAAAAAGCTGAAACAATTGCAGACAGGCAAGGCCAACAGAAATGTAGATTAACACACTTTACTGTGAACATTTTGCAACATGCAAAGTCTTTTTTTCCACAACATGGGAGACCATTCAAGTATATTACCCCCTATCTTCAGTATAAAGTGGCATTCTTAGCAATCCAACAGCTCCTATTATATGATTTATATTATCACCAAAACATGATTAGGAACTCTAGTTCCAAGGTTTCTCATGAAACTGCAGCATCATGGCACATAGTTCCACCAGCCAATTATTTTTTAAAAATTCTGCACAGCTCAATTTGCATTTCAGAAACTTATTATAGCCATTATTAAGACAAAGACAAACATAATTATGCTGTCTTAGGCTGTTCTGTCTCTTGGTTATAACCTTTTTTTTTTTATTCTGTAAGGGGAAAAGGACTCATTGGAAGGAAAATTAACCTGACAATCAAAAAGACTTAATTTTGGCAGAACATCCAGATTCAAAGAAAATAATTATTTGTGTACTTAAAATATTTCTGTGCCAGCACATGAATTTCTATTTGGCAATTTATTTGATAAGCATATTTAATGTACAAACCTCCTGAAGTTTCTTTTCAATTTCTTTGAATACAAGTGCTGATTTAAATCCATCAATCACTGCTCTAGTGGGAATGGCCCGGATTTGCCGATTCCTGAAATGGGAAACAATAACTTAGTATCAAGTAAGCAGATTTCAACAAGCAATTTTCCATACAGTCTTCCCCTTAATGATTTTGTTTGCATGTGTTGCAGCTAGATTCACACAATATTAAGCCATAATCATGGTTTACAAAGTATAATGCCTTGAATGCACTAAGCCAAAATCAAACAACCCCTACAATTTGCAAACTCAGCATATATGGGTATCATACATGTTCACAGGCAAAGAAAGTTTTTTCCATTGTTTCCACCTGAAGAACCACAGAAATCTCTGCAATAACAGAGAAGAAATATAACAAGTGTAATCATAACAAAAAGGCTATGTGAATATCTATATTAGGTTATGCTTTTATTAGGTCAACTAAAGGTTTATCAAATATTATGCAAAACTTCAAGGGTCCAAGACTTCATCAGGTAAAATGGGGACAAAGCACTCTCTGAACCAAGAAATAATCTGAAATGGAAGTGTCTCCACATTGGCAACTTCAGAACAGAAATACTATTAGCCTTCACTCAGGATTCTGCCAAAGATAGCACCCAACACATTCTCCCCATATTGGGGCGGGGGGGGGAGGATTACTAACCTTACTTTGCTCAATAAAGCATTTTTGGAAACATGAAACTGTAAAGCATCTGTTTAGAAAGAACTGTAATGAAAAAATTCTGCAAGTGATTCTGAGACAGTTCTCCCATATGTGAGATAGGAAGATAAGAAAGACCAAAGGTAAGAAAGACCAAGGGCTTGGCCTTTCACTAATGAAGCAGAGGGGTGTGTGTGTGTGTGTGTGTGTGTGCATGTGTGTTAGACAGAGGGGTATTTTACACATTCTCCTCTTTCAAGTAGAAATACATTGTGTTTTGGAGAAAAAAATCTAATCAAAATTGAGAGGTGAATGGAGGTAGAAACAATTTAAATGTGATGAGAAAACAAATGCTGAACTTTATATTAGTTAGTAATTACTACAGTTAAATTGGCCAAAACATTTACTGGCAATCAGCTGTGAACAATAGTTATGACACTATAAAATGAAAATGATGAAACAAGCTTACTTTTCCCCTAGTTATTCAATACCTAATCCCAATATTCCACCTGTATGCATAACCTTGCTGACTGATCATGTAAGAATTTAGCAATATAATTTTGCAACACACACACATGACCAGGAGAAAAATAACAATATAAGTAAAATCTAAACATTCTTTGAAAAGCACTTGAGGTACTTTCTGTTTGCACCCAACTTTACCTCCACCCCACCCCCACAAATTGCCATGAGCAAAATCTCAGACTAACCTCCACAGATTACTGGGGATAAAGATATAAATGATGCAATCTAGCTTAAGCCCTTGGTGGAATGCAATCTAAATAAAAGCAGAAGTGCTTCATTTTCCAGTTGAGCAAGATAATTACCACACATGGCAATGTGAGGAAAAATGAATTTACTTTGAGAAAGAATAGTAGAGACTTCGGGTATTACTAGTGCAATAAACGTCTCCTAAATTGATTACTTTCAGAAAAGATGACACAGTTCTGAGAAAGAGGGAAGTAGGATATAGAAAATCAAAATAACCCCACCCTGATTTTCTTTAGTATAAAATGGGACAGAGAGAAACTTGGACAAGATTCTTTTATACCACCTTATTACAATAAACAGCATTTCTGGAATCCCTGTCATGCCTGTTCCTTGACCTGGCCTATCTCAAAGAGCTGGTCGTAAGAAATCCAGGTTGGTTTAAAACTGGCAACCATTCCCATTAAGTTTTTCACATTGGGAATCTAAGTAGTCTTTTCTGAATCTGAAAGCCACCAAGAATTTCTTCCTCTAGCTCAGCATAATCTGATATTTGTAAAGAATTTTATCCTTGTGTGCATTTGCTTTACCTTACACTACTTATTAACTGAAAAGGCTACTTATTAACTGAAAAGACCATCACAGGGCATCTGTTTTAATTTGTGTACCGAACTGGAACTTGATATAGTAGTTAAAATGTTGTACTAAGACTGTAGAAATCCTGATTCAAGTCTATGCTCATTTATGAAAGGTCACTGGGTGATGGGTCAATCACTCCCAGGCCAGATTCGTCACATTATTGTGTGGAAAAAATATTGTGGAGTTGGGAATGCAGGAGATAAATCTAACAAATAAACAAACCATTATTTATACCAAGAAATCTGCTGCCCACCTTATAATTAGGAAGAAAAAGTACTAAAAACATGTAGACAATTCTCTTTCACATATAAAATATAAGGTGAGAAAATGCACAAAATAGATTTTTAAATAAGCACAGGACCCCAAGAAATAATTACTAACTGCTTAAATAAGTTTTCTGCAATCTAAATTTCCATGCTCTTTATCACAACCTTAGGAAGTAATTTGGATACTGATAAGAGTTGCCTGAAAAAAAAATCAACAGGCTGTAAAACATGAGTAATCTTAATTCAAATTATAATATTATGCATGCAAAATTGGTCCTCATCTTTTCTAGACAACTTCACTACCTCTCTGAGTACTGAAACTTGTTCTGTACATTCTTTTAACTTTATGTTTTACAGCTTTTTTTTTAAAGCTAAAGAGGTCCATCTTAAGTATGTTTTCCAAGTCTGGTTTCATACACACACATATTCCATATATATATATATATATATATATATATA